GTATTAGACCTGCTAAATCGAACACCAGAACGTTGATCTACAGCACTGCAAGTGAAGATATGCTCTTATAGTAGCTCCATGTAGGTTGTTTTTCCCTGGTTTGTTAATGAGAAGGCCATGCGAGGCCTTACTAAAGTCTAGATATACCACATCTACCACTTCCCCACTATTCACAAGGCGTCTTACCCTGTCAAAGAAAGGTTGTTTTTACACGATTTCTTCTTGACAAATTCATGCTATTTCATGCTATTTGTTCTGTTCCTTTCTATAGACAATGATGCTATGCCTCTAAATTAATATGAGTAGATAACAAGGAGAGTTTCCTTTAGGCATTTATTTCTAAGGTGTTTCTTTAAGAAAGCTGTGTTTGAGTGGGCCATAGTGTCAAAGTGATTTCAAGGAGAGTTTTCAAATTTGAGTTAAAAGCTGTGATCCCTTTGTATATGCTTAGCTACTGGAGAAAGTGCTGTTAAGCTTTGGCTCTCCTTAGCTACAGTACCTGGTCACCATGTGAGAAGGGTGAGCACTAAAAGGGAAGATAGGAAAGAAATACTGAAGAAACACTGTATCTTATGATCTGTGAAAGAAGAAAAAAAAATGTCCCAAAGGCTGAACTGCCAACTGTCCCAAAGGCTGAACTGGTCTGTGCTCTGAGCTAGGAGCTTTGTAAGAAACACCGCATGATGAATGCTGGTTGGTGCCGTGTTTTGCTTTCTAGCAGTAATCATTCCTGCCCACCAGCAGTTACTATTAGCAGTCTCCACAAGGAAGGCACAGTGTGGGATAAGAGACCCATCCCACCATCAAAAACAATTTCTCCATGTTATACAGCTGACACAAGTGAGTGCCACAGCTGTCAAAAAACCCTTTGCTACAAGCAGTGGTATTTATGCTTAAAGCAATGTCAAAGTTTCCATTATAAACCACTAATTTCATGTGTTTACCACTGAAGTAATAAAAATAGGCCTAGAACTGACTCTTGGCATACAGCCTTTCTAACACAATATGAACTCAAAACATGTAGATGCTTTTTGAACAGCAATATCTAAAATATGCAGCTGCTTTTTTCTTCTTTAAAGACAGGATATCAAGGTCCTTAGTCTATTGTAGGACAGGGATCCCTGTGAAGGGTGATGAGGAAAACTGAAAATGTGCATCTTATTTCACTTAGTAAACCAGCCTATGGGTGCATATCAGGACTTCCTGTTGGATGCTGCGCACACACAATAGGAGTGGTCATCTTGGTGAAGAATTGTTTCAATACCAAAAGCCGTGGTGTCCAATCAGTTCAGTGGCTACTGCTATAGAGAGCTAGCCACACTCCACTGAGAGAGGAATTCTTCCATTAACTCTGTGCTGTCTGCACCAAGGGTTAGGTTGGCATAACTACAGCTCCAAGAGGTGTGGACTCCTAGTGAATTCCTAGTGGAGACCAGACCTTAGATCAGGGGTGGGCAAATGGCAGCCTGCAGGCAGGAGTTAGCTCTTGGTGGGCCCCCTTGCTATATTTACCTGCATGGCCGCGAGTACCAGCAATCGCAGCTCCTGTTGGCTGCAGATCACCGTTCCCAGCCAATGGGAGCTGCAGGAAGTGGTGTGCCAGTCCACTTTCTGCTGTTCCCATTGTCCGGGAACAGTGATCTGCAGCCAATGGAAGCTGTGATCACTGGTACCTGCGGCTGTGCAGGTAAATATAGCGGCGGCAGGCCAACCACCACTGTGTTATTGCCCACCTGTGCCTTAGGTGATCTCTCCTGGACCTCTTAAAACCTAGGAATGTATTTATCCTTGCAGAACTAAGGTCTTAATGACTGTGAGTCCAAAATACTGAGAGCGCTGAACTCCTGTTTACTTCAATAAGAGTGGTGGCTACCCAGCACCGTGCAGGATGAGGTCTGTGACTGGAAGTTAGTAGGAGGCATGTGGAGAACTTTACTGCATGACACATTTAACCCACAGGAAAACACATATTTTTTATTTAAGTGTATTTCACACTTTTTTGACTATTTGAAATTATCAGACTTGTAAAAACTTATTTTTGTCAATAGAGCCCTTTATGTACAAAGGCAACTTTTCCCCCCTCAGTGCAGTAATTTCACTATACTTTCTTTTGTAGATCTGGCTCCTTCCATCATCTGTTCATTATTGCTTACTGCTGCAGATCCCTCAAGCACTGAAAAAAAGCTATTTGGAATATAAGCTATCTTGAAAAATTTTACTGGTGCATGCCTCACAGGTACCAGGAGTAATAAGAGAGCTAAGTAAATGATTTTATATTTAATGTCACCTCAGAGTATTTTTCAGTGTAGTTGCAGAAGCAGTACTCTCTCTGTACACATATAAAACGATTGGAAAGAATTCTTGGTTCACAAATCATGGGAGTAGTTCTGGCATTATTGAAGTCAGTGAAAATTATACCCTGAACATCATTTGAGCCAGGATTCTTCCGCATATTTAAAAAGAAATTACTTTGCTGTTATTAGCTGGAGGTGTTAGAAATGCAGGTAAAGAATGTATTTAAAAATCTGATTTCTTTTTCTTCCTTTTTCTGGCTGTTTATTTGTATGCACTTCAGAGTAGAAGATGATAGCAACTTCGTCAATTTCCGTTGTTTATGGTCAGTTTTGAGTTGGCTTCTCTTTTTCTGGTTTTCATGAATTTGCAGTCCCAGCACTGCAGTATTTGGGCTCCAAACATTTCAAGGGCATGTTTAAACCCCCACGATACAAAGTGTTTGAATCAATTTTTTAAACATTTATTTATGTAACTGATTTTTTAAAATCCATTATATGTGGCCCAGATTACTTGAGACTGTCCCTTTAATGAAAACAAACCTTCCATCCCTTTTGCAAATATACCATAAATGGATATAGTAGAAATGACAGATACATATCAATGCCATTTTGGAATATGTTTTAAAAAAAACAAGTTATTTGTCTAAGGAAATATCAAACTTTTAGTGGAATTTGGAAAATATTTTTGGCTAACATGAAAACTAAAATCCCTCACCACAATGTACAGGCACAGAGACTGAACAGATGGACTGCTGTAAAACAACTATTTAATAAGGCATTAAAATGCCATTGACTTGGACACATAAAAAAAAGCTATGAAAATAAATGCCTTCCAAATAATTAAGATCTTATGCCTTAGACTAGCATTGATCTCTATGTAAAGATTTTCCTTCTGAAATCAGACCAGTATAAATCTGATCATGTAAGGAAGGAATTAGTGTGTTTATCATGAATATGTGAAACAGTTAAATCACTAGCTTTTATTCTCAGTATATGAGTAGGAATAATAGCCAGTCTAGTAGATGCAGCCAGGAATAGGAACTGAGTCCATTACTGCTCTCCAAACTAGAAAGCATAGTGTGACTTCACTTTCACTCATAGTAATATACAAACATTGATTTTACATTTTAACAATAATCAGCAAACATAGCTGCTGTGAAAAATATATCATTCATTTGTACAGATTCACCCATGCAGTATAACAAAATGTCTTAGGAGTAATTTTCAGCAGCTAATAATGCTTGCAAATATGAAACTATGGTTATAACGTCCCATTGGTGTCACAGATTTTACTGTAAATATAACCCCAGTCTGCGCACTTCAAAGAGTCTCCAATATTTAAAAACATCTGGAAAACGACAATTCCATAATAGATACATTTTTCAATGTGTAAAATGATCAAAATATTAAACTTTAGGCAGTGACTATGATGCAAGAGTGTTTTGTAAAGCTGTGTTTTACTTATGGCCTCCAAAAAAGTATTTTTATAAATAATAGTAATAAGAAAGTTGAATCCAAAAAGCACATTTAAATATGTTAAGATTGTGGGAAAAGATAATACAAACATGCTGTATGGAAGAAGGCTTGGATTATCAGCTTTCATGTTGAATTTCATAGATTTTATCAGCTTTTATCACAACAGTACTGTTGCATAAACATTGCTTTTGTTATTTAGTAACTTTGCAGTTCTTGTGTCCATTTTTCCTTATATTAATCTTAAGACTCTTGAAGAGATAATGAACATACCTTTCATATTATAATTGTCAATATTCAGTAATCAACAACAAAATAAACGTTTTTAAACTTCCAGTTCAATCTGCTGCTTCTTTTTTTTTAATAACCAAGAGTCATTACATTCTGATTCTCTTATAAGTAATGTAAAGACTTTGGTCACCAGACCCAATTCTACATGTAATTTAGTAACCGGTCAAAATGGAAGATGAAACTCGGTCTTTAAGTTGCAGTGTCTTTTATTAATCAAGCTCTGCTGCTAGCACACTTTTTAAAGGTGTGAAAAATAGCACTCCAGAAAAATGTCATAGATAGAAACCTTAATTTTTTGATAAAATTCTAAGTTTATCAATGATTGCTCAGCTTGTGAAATGTTGGGCAGAATTTTTAGAGTTCAATGAACTTTCTATTAAAGGCTTGTGTTGCCATTTGGCCAGGGAGTACATCCCAATTAGTAACCCTTGTTGCCGAAGTAGCAATGGCATGTATAGGGCAGTTTTTTCTGAGGCTTTTGTAAATGATTAGTCCAAAAGACTAGCATAAAACTTAGAACTAGTCCCCTGCAGGAGTCGGCTAGAGGAAATTAAAGGATCAACAACATAAGAGGAGCACTGAGGTAGGATTGTTCCAGGCGACAGCCACAGGCTTACACGTGCGCACAGGAAATTGGCTTAATCAAAAGCTGTGGATTCAGGCATGAGGATGAGGATGATAAGTCAGGTGATGATTCTAAATCATGTCTCAACATCACAAAATTGTGTAGGGCTTTTTTCCCCACCTGTGAAAAGCATGTTTCCTACAGAAAGGTTAAATGTCATCCTTATAAGTTAGCCAAAGCTCCTCATAAATGAGAGCTACAAACTCAATCAAGATTAATGAATGACGCGGTTTCACTTTCTCCAAAAGAGCACCCTGTAGACCAAATTTTATGCAAATAAAACACTGACGAATTTTAGATTCTGCTCTTCTTTCCAGAATGCTGCTGTTGGGAGCTTGTGTCTCAGAATCTGGCAGAATCTTCACTTGTCTGAATTTAGTCACAACATTCATCAGGAGTCTTACTGTATTTTGGGCCTTGAATACAACTGAAGCTTTTCCAGGAGAGCCAGACAGATTCACAAGAAAAGAAATACACCACTCTATGCTTGGATTTCAAAATGTCTGTTTGAAGTTGCCATCTGGCCTGCTGGTGAAACACAAAGTGTTGGGACAGCTAGAGACCCAGCACATGTAAAAGAAACAGCAAACTTTTGTTTAAAAAAATAAGAGAGTAATTTTTTTAAAAAGACTCCATCAGCAATGACGATCTTATACCATTCAGTGCCTCCATTGGAAGGAAAAAAGCCACAAATGCTGTGACCCAAACATGGAGTTTAAAACAAAAATTAACATTCAATTGTTTAGATGACAAAGAAGCAGCACAATTACTGGTATTAAAACTTACAGCCAGCAGGCAAATACTCATCATGTCTTGAACAAATAAGCTTTTCTGAAGAGAATGGGTCCCCTCTCCAGGTAAGAAAAGTTTTTATAACATGGCATCACTTACACTTGTAATTAAACATCACTGGTTATTCTGCATATACCATTTTCAACACTTTAGATCTTTATTGTGGGATTGTACTAACCAGACCTGTGTATTCTGAAGGCAAGATGATTGAATACTATAAAAAAGAAACCCAGCCATTTCTTTTTAATTACTAAACTTGTGTTTTTATGTCTTGAGCCAAATTTGGCCCTGGTGTAGCTCGACTTAAGGTCAGTCAGAATGACCCCTCTTTGTCATCCCCTTTCTTATCTAATTAAACATGCTGCTTACTAAATGAAAGACGTGGACGTGAAATATCTTTGTCTGTGAAACAACATGCCACGATACCATCCAGCCAGTGTTTGTGTTGGACTAGCTAATGAAACAAAGGGCTATATTTTGGCATCAAGGCTAACTTTTTTATAAAACAACAAATAGTCTAGTAGCACCTTAAAGACTAGCAAAGCTAGTAGATGGTAACATGAGCTGTCTGGGCACAGCCTACTTCTTCAGATGGCAGGAGTTTTAGAAGTCCAGATCCAAGAACTGTGCCCACGAAAGCTCATGATATCATCTATATGTTTTGTTAGTCTTTAAGGTGCTACTAGACTATTTGTTGTTTTTTAAGTTTTTCCTGTTGCAGACTAACTTGGCTCCCCCTCTGAAGCTTTTGAACTTTTTTATAGCAATTAAACATTACCAAGATATTTAAACAAAAGAATAAATTAAGGAACATCTCCCCAAGTCTCATTTATTTCCTACACTAGACCATAGTTGCAAGCACTTCTAAACATTTATTGTATATATGTGTCACACATGAATACCAAAGATAATACAACTGGCTGGCATTAGCTGTTAGGTCAGGCACAAGAAAAGAGTCTGTCAGGGAGGGAGGTTTTTTTTCACTTTGTGCTTGTAATGATTTTCAGTATTAATACAAAAGCAAACTGTACAACATGGAAACAAAGGGTTGTTAGCATTATTACAATTTGTAGTTCCCAGGAACACTGTACAAAAACATATTAAGAGGCAGTTGGTTATTATTATAATTAGACTGTAATTATAATTACAGTCTAATTTCAGGCAAGATATTAAGACATGCAAAGTTTGTTGCATACTATCAGAAGAGCCAAATCCAGCTCACCTGTGCAAAACCTGAGTTTCCTAAGAGGATTAACAAGGTGAATAAATACCTGCTTCCATCATTACTGAACATAAAAACTGGTAGAGACCAGTCTGTATATTGATCACTGTCTGATCTCCTGTACATAAGCTATGTGGTCAGTGGATGTTCAGAGCCACTAACCATACCACTGCTTCAACCTTTCTCTTTGTGATACCAAGGAACTTTTCTCTGTGACCTTCTGCTGAGCTACTGAGTAATGTGGTGGAAATTCTGCTGGTCTTTATGGCCTTTTTCTCCCAGGAGTGTAAAAAGGCAATAGGATCTGGCCTACAGTAATAATGGACTCCAGGAAAAATTAGCTCTTGCAGGGACAGTGTTTTTTGTGTGTCTCAGATTACCCAGAATTACTGAGAATTTGGAGGGAAAGATAGCCATAGAACAGTGAAAACCTTCCTTCTGTAATACTAATGTTGCCCTGAGTCATAGAACTCCATCCACTGACAGTGAAGTTCAGCTAGAGTTTTTATTAGTGAAAATCATGATTAATTTGGGTTCTGCAATTCCAGCATCTATCAGTAAGGATATTGAACAAGATGTGAACACCAATTGTTTCGCTATATAAAAAAACCCCAACCCAATATGAGTCACCATTTCAGAAAAAGGAATCTCAAACTGGAATAAAAGGCAGAAGTAGGGATGCTTTAACCCCAAAACGGAGCATAAACCCACCATATACAGGTTGAACTTTTCTAGTCCGGCACCCTTGGGACCGACTGAATGATTGAATTTTCCAGACCTCAGGAGGTCAATATTGTCTAGCAGCATTACCAACACTTCCACTGCTTACTAGGCTGTTAAAAGACATTTCCTGGTAAATTAGAGCTAAATAACAGCACAGAACATTGAGAGCCAAGACTGGTGGCTGTAAACAAACTTAATGGGACCACGGGATACTTGGCTACACCTGTGAAAAGTGGACATCCAGCTAACTAAAATCATGCTGAACCACAGATGTTTCTGGACCAGAGAGTGCCGGACTAGAGAGGTTCAATCTATAGTAGCAAAATTAAATGATTATAATATTAGTCTTGCAGGAAAGAGATGGAAAATACATTGTGGATCAAGTCCTGTTCCTATCAAAACCAGTTAGTTTTGTCATTAACTTCAATGGGACTAGGGTTTGGCTCTGTCTCTTTAAAATAGCAAATGAGAATTGGCTAAGGAGGTAACAAGAGAGTCCAGGAGGAAAGTTGGGAGTTCTGCTAGGATTGCAGTTATTTCACATTGTCAGAGGCCCCTGCTTTTAAATGTCCCAATAGCAATGATTGGGGCTGTAGCTAACTTTAACTTTTATGCTTTTGCAAGATATGCTGTTGGCAGTTCAAAAAGCTCAAAGATAGAAATGCAGAGGGCAGCCTAGAACTGTCACTGTTGGGCCCGTAGTAGTATTGTCTCACATAGAATGGGGTTTATAAGACCACCCAGTGCTTAAAAGCCCCTTGCAATGTGTGAGCACAACAGAGCAAACTAGAAAAACTTAAAGAACAACAATGGTCCTGTAGCACCTTAGAGACTAATCAAAACCATATAAATAGTATCATGAGCTTTCATGAGGAACACCCATTTCCTCAGATGCTTCTTCAGAACAAACTAGGTCCTTGATCCTGCACAGACTTGTGCACATGCTTTTCACTTTACTTGTGCATACATCTGAGTGGGATCAGAGCCCCACAAAAGGCCTAGAAAGCTGGTTGCATCTGCTTCTTAACACGTTGTCACTTACCTTTCCATTCTAGTTTGTTCCCTGCCATGTCCCACCTGCCTGATTGCCTGCATTTGCCTTTAATTGCCTGTTTCTCTTGACTTTGTTAGGAGAGTCATCTGCTTATGCCAGTGGCGTTGCTCTCACTCTCCATCTTCCAAACATCCTTACTCACTCTGAGAAGCAGCCATGATGGTACGATTTCCACTTCGCAGAGGAGGAAGTGACTTGCAGGCAGGATCACTGTTGGGGCAGTGCACAGGCGATCCTGATTCCAGCCTCTTGCTTAGACCATGGCTCATGCCACTCACACTGTCTGGACCCCCCAGGTCAAATGCACACAAACAGGTACAGTTTTCTTGTTTTCTTACAGGCCCAGTCTAAACTATGATTTGAATATGGCTCTTGGAGTCATTCGCTTGGTCAGTTTCGTGCATGTGAAGAAGGCAGGTGTGCCTTGTTTATGCTAGAGCAGATGTGCTGGTTAACATGAGCCAACATCACACCTTTACATCCTAGTCCAGTGTTTCTCAACCTTTTTTAATATATAAAATATCCCTTTAAAAAAATTATAAGTACCCCCCAGTATCTACAGTTTTCAAACACACACAACTTTTTTCTACCATTGCAACACATTTGTTTAAACAACTTAATCGTAGCTGGGTGGACGATGAAATGTTTGGGTGTAAAAAGTACATAAATAATAAAGCGCTGTAAAACTTAAAACAAAAATTCAGTTTTCTCCAAATTTCAGTTAAGTTGATGTATCCACCAGACTTCTCTTGAGTACCCCTACGGGTACTTGTGCCACTGGTTGAGAAACACTATCCTGGTCAACACAAGATCACAGAAGGTTGGGGTGCAATATGTAGGAAATCTGCCTTCGTAAGAGGGCTCTCCTCCCTCATGGAGTCTTTGGACACCGGGATATTCATGTACCTCATAGCACGCACGCTGAGTTGATGTATCCACCAGACTTCTCTTGAGTACCCCTACGGGTACTTGTGCCACTGGTTGAGAAACACTATCCTGGTCAACACAAGATCACAGAAGGTTGGGGTGCAATATGTAGGAAATCTGCCTTCGTAAGAGGGCTCTCCTCCCTCATGGAGTCTTTGGACACCGGGATATTCATGTACCTCATAGCACGCACGCTGGCAGGCATCTCTGTCCTATGTGAAGCTGCTGAAGATTCCAATTTTTCCCACTGAGAGTCATCCCATTATTCCCTGATCGTCACACGTTCCTTGCCGTTGGGTGTGTGCGTCAAGCAGCCCTGGTTTTTTTGTAAGCACATTGAAGTCAAAGCCTAACCCCACTCCGCAGCCTACACAACTGGCTGATCTTAAGATAGCTCCCCTGGAGCAAGAAGAGGGGAAAAAATCTGTTTCTTTCCCAGATTGCAGAGCCTCTCCAACGTCACACTGTAGCATCTCTGCTACTCCTGTGTTTCCACTTCCCAGCTGGGGCAAATGCCAGTGATCCTCATCCCAAAATACTCCAGAGAACAGCTCCGTGGTATGTGACTCTTCCAGACAGGTTTGGAATTCTGTCCCCTTTCCTGGGCAGTGGAAATCTACGGGTTCCACTTCCTTACAGAGACCCCGGCATAATATGTACAAACACCGGATAACTAGTGTCTGCTCCCTCCCTTTAAAAAATAAACACATACCATTGCTTATCCTGCTTTCACTGACTGCTTTGGGGTCTTCAAATGCTTAGGAAATAGTTAATATCTTCCCCCCTTCTTTCACATCACAGAGGGAGAAATGTAGAAAAACGACAACTCACCCAAGCATTTATGTAACAATCGTGTACCTTGTTTTAACTGTACCCCATAAATCTGCTC